AAGCTTAGGCCAGTGTATTTTACCTTGGCCTGGTTTGTAAAAGCAACAGTGCAGATTCCTGGGCCCTACCCTGGCCCTCTGGATCTGAATCTGGAGGGTGATGCTGGGGAGGCAGCAGGACGGAAAACCTGCAGTCAGTCATCCCAGTTACAACACATCCAGTTACTGGCAGGTCTGAGATAACCTAAGGATTTCCAAATGCTGGGAAGTGACTCAGTGGCTGATATGTTTAATACAGTACAATCCCAGGGTTGCAAACAGCCCAGGGCAGGGGTGGGGTTGCTATGCCCTGAGACGTTCACAGTCTTCTAATGCTCCCAGTTCAAGAAGGAGCTGAAATGAAGTGTCAAAGAATTGCGAAGAGGCAGAGGTGGAGCGCAGTGACTCACACCGGTAATCCCAGCACTTCGGGAAGCCGAGGCGAGAGGATTGCTTGAGCCCAGGAGTTTGAGACCAGCCTGAGCAACATAGTGAGAGCCTGTTCCTACAAAAAAAAAAAAAAAAAAAAAAAATTTAAAACCTTAGCCAGGCGTGGTGGCAGGTGCCTCTGGCCCCAGCTGCTTGGGAGGGTGAGGTGGGAGGATGGCTTGAACCCAGGAGGTCAAGGCTGCCGTGAACTATGATCATGCCACTGCACTCCGGCCTGGGTGACAGAGTGAGACCCCGTCTCAAAATAAACAGATAAATACATAAATACATGAGAAAAGAGGACCTTTTCTCTTTCGGAGGCAAGCACCTCCCTCCTCCCCCTGACCTCTTCCACCCCATCTAGGAGGGTGGGGGAGAGCATTCGGGATTAGACGCCACCCCCTCTTGGTGGCCCTCGCTAGTACCCGGGAGTGAGGCCAGGACAGAAGCTCCTTAGGTACTGTGCTTCCTTGCGTTTGTAAAAGTGAGCTTTCATGAGGGTTAAGGACGTGTTTTATAAGCTACTTCACACAATGTCCAACAGGCGGTAGGTCCACAGTCAGTGTATATGTCTGTTGTTATCTCTCAAGACGTAAGCTTGGGAGTGACAGTCTGGACTCCAGCCAGATCACCCAGTGCAAACGCTGGCTTTGCCACTTACTCAGTAACTGACTTCCCAGAGCCCCAGTTTCTGCATTTGTGAGATTATAGTGACTATGCCGTCGTCGTGATGACTAAGTTAAACACAAAACAGTACCTGGTACGTGGTAACAACTATGCATTTGTTAAATGAATCCTTTTTTTTTTTTTTTCAGAGCCATGGTCTCTCTCTCCATTGCCCAGGCTGGAGTGCAGTGGCACAGTCATAGCTCACTGTAGCCTCCAATTCCTGGGTTCAAGCAATCCTTCCACCTCAACCTCCTGAGTAGCTGGGACTGCAGGTATGAGCCACCATGCCTGGCTAATTGTTTTTATTTTTGGGGGGACAGGAGCTTGCTATGTCGCCTAGGCTAGTCTCGAACTGTTGGCCTCAGGCAATCCTCTTGCCTCAGCCTCCTAAAGGATTGGGTTTCTAGATGTGAGCAAAGGTGCCTGGCCTAAATGAAGAAATCTTTATTGTTGGCCAGGCGCGGTGGCTCATGCCTGTAATCCCAGCACTTTGGGAGGCCGAGGCGGGTGGATCATGAGGTTAAGAGATCGAGACAATCCTGGCCAAAATGGTGAAACCCCGTCTCTACTAAAAATACGAAACTTAGCTGGGCATGGTGGCATGTGCCTGTAGTCCCAGCTACCCGGGAGGCTAAGGCAGGAGAATTGCCTGAACCCAGGAGGCGGAGATTGCAGTGAGCTGAGATTGTGCCACTGCACTCCAACCTGGCAACAGAGCAAGACTCTGTCTAAAAAAAAAAACAAAAAAAAAATCTTAATTGTTGCCTCCTTGGAGTTTTACTGGTTGGGATTGAGTTTACCCATTTTGCAGATGAGAACTGAGGCCCAGAGATGAATGCAATGGCCTTGCCTCAGGCCCATACTGAGGGACACACTCCATCCTTCTTTCCTTGTCTTGTATTCTTTCCTGCTTGTACCAGTTTGCTGGGGTGATCAAGGACATTTCTGAGTATTCTTCCTGGCTGGCACAGAGGAGACATGCCTGGCCACGTTTAGCCAGACTTCCCATGGCTGGGCTAGAAGAGAGGCCAGGAGCTTGCCTGGAGGTTGCACGGACTTGCCCTTGGTGAATGTGGATCAGAGCGCCCCAGCAAAGCCTTGAGGTCCTGCAGAGGCTGGGGGATCCAATGTCAGACCTGGTGCATCCCAGTGTTTTGTGACATCCAGCAAATTGCTCTGCTTTTCTGAGCCTGAGGCAGAGAGAAGGGCCTAAGCTTGAAGAGGGGGTCCCAGGTTTGAATCGGAGCTGGCTACTTCCCAGCTTCCCAGTGTGTAATCTGGAGAAAGCTGTTTACCTTCTCTGAGCCTCCCTTTGTTTGTCATGGGTATTTGCAGGGAGAGCGTTCATGAGATCGTTTTTGTAGACATTTTGCTCTTGGAAGGGGCTCAGCGATTGCTGTTTCTCTCTGCATTTTGGATTGAGTCCCTTCTGCATATCCAGCACCTGGCTTCCTCCTGCCTTTATTCCTCAGGAATTTATTGAGCACCTATATGTGCCAGAGCATTGGACCAAGTCCTTGCTCTCCTGGGGTTTAGACTCTCGTTGAGCAGACAGGGAACGTACAACCAATACGTGTGTACAGGTCAGCGGCTTTGTGTTATTCTGAAACCCACAATCTCTGAAAACCAGAAGTTTTTCGTAACTTATTTGGAAACTAAACACGAGGTTTTTTTAGTCTTTTTCCTCCTGGTGTGATGCTCAGATGACTTGCTGCAGAGATATTAATGCAATTGATCACTGGGTGCTGTTTCCACCCTGCGTGGGGGTCACATCAGAGGGTATTTTATACAAGATGACCTTTCTACATCCTGAGTCATTCTGAATTCTGAACTATGTCTGGCCCCCAGGGTTTTACAGGAGAGAACATGGACCTGCAATATCCTATCAGCTGGAGACTGCGCTAGGAAGGAAAGCAAAGCTGGGGGCAAGTGGAATCAGGGAGGGCTTCTCTGAGGAGGTGACATTTGAGAGGGATGAGGGATAGGGGTCTGAGGAAGAGAGGGCCGGGTGGAGGGACTCACAGGGGACGGAACACTCCACTTCCTGGCCGGCCTGTGCTTACCCCGCATTCTGCCCGCACAGTTCTGTCTAAATGCATCTGTTCTCGCCTTTCCAAGAAATGCTGATGTGTCTGAGGTTTCAGGTCTGGCTCTGACTGACTCATTCTGTCTTTAGGGGCCCCCGCAGGCCTCCTCACCTCCTCTCAGTTGCTTAAAACATCTGAGGTCTGCGCTAAAGCCAGCCTGGGTGCTGTCACCTCTCAGCTGAGGATGGTCTTCAGCTGGGCTTGCATCTGGAAATGGAGGAAGTGGGTCCCAGAAGGGGCTGTGTGCTGGGTCTTAGCGCCTCTAGCCTGCTGAGCAATGTTGAATGTGACATGTAACACACGCTCACAGTCTCGAGTGCCAGCCCAAGGTTAGGCACTTAACCCTTGCTTAGCCAATGTGCCGGGGGCTGGGGACACGGGAGTGAGTGACCCAGAGCTGAGGGTCCTCATGGAGCTGAAAGCCTTCTAGAGTTGGCGACTTTGAGGAGGTGGCTTTTGAGCTGAGACCTGATATATCAAGGCATGTGGACCTCTGGGGAAAGAGTGATCTCTCTGGGCAGTGGGAACAGAGAGTGCAAAGGCTCAGAGGCGCAAATGAGCTTGGTGTGTTTGACCCACAGCAAGGAAGCTGGTGTGGTTGGATTGAACCTAGTAAGACAGAGGTATAGGAAAAGAGGCCAGGGAGGGAGCCAGGGCCAGATACCGGCATTGTCACATGTAACTTCTATAATAACCCTACCAGATAGGAGCTACTCTCACGCAAATGTTGCAAATGAATTAACAGAGGCACAGAGAGGTTCAGTGACTTGGCCAGGGTCACACAGCCTGAAGGTGGCAGAGCAGGGCTGTGAACCTAGAAGATCCGGAGTCCTCAGTGTTCACCATGGTGTTTAAACACAATGAAAACTATGCCTGACTGCTGAAGACACACCTGCCATTTAGATTAATCTACCTTCCATTTAGATTAATCTACCTTTTTTTTGGAGACAGAGTCTCACTCTGTCACTTAGGCTGGAGTGCAGTGGTGAAATCTCAGCTCACTGCAACCTCTGCCCCCCAAGTTCAAGCAATTCTCTGCCTTTGCCTCCCGAGAAGCTGGGATTGTAGGTGCCCACCACCACGCCTGGCTAATTTTTGTATTTTTAGTAGAGACGAGGTTTCACCATCTTGGCCAAGTTGGTCTTGAACTCCTGACCTATGATCCACCCGCCTCGGCCTCCCAAAGTGCTGGGATGACAGGCGTGAGCCTCCAGTCCCAGCCTCGATCTACTTTTTTTAAATGGTTGGTGTGCTCCCTGCCGTCTGCCTGCCCAGCAACACCGTGAATGTGGGCCGCCCAGGGTTGCTTCCTCCAAGCCCCATTTTACAGGCGATCCAATCATTTTACACATTATTTTATGAATGAGCACCTTCCTCAGTGTCTCAGGCCAGGAGTCCCCACAGAGCAGAGCCACACAGCAGGAGGTGAGTGGCGGGTGAGTGAGCGAAGCTTCATCTGTGTTTACAGCCGCTCCCCGTGGCTCGCGTTACCACCCAAGCTCAGCCTCCTGTCAGATCTCATAGGCAACAGATGACTCTCACAGGAGCCTGAAACCTTTTGTGAACTGCACATGTGAGGAATCTGGGTTGTGTGCTTTTTTTAATTTTTTTTTTTTTAATGAGACAGAGTTTTGCTCTTGTCACCCAGACTGGAGTGCGATGGTGTGATCTTGGCTCACTGCAATCTCCGCCTCTCGGGTTCAAGTGATTTTCCTGCCTCAGCCTAGTAGTTCAATTACAGGCCTGTGCCATCACACCTGGCACATTTTTGCATATTTAGTAGAGATGGGTTTTCACCATGTTGGCCAGGCTGGTGTCGAACTCCTGGCCTCAGGCGATCCACCGCCTCAGCCTCCCAAAGTGCTGGGATTACGGGCATGAACCACCACGCCCGGCCCCAGATGCATGCTTCTTATGAGAGTCTAATTGCTGATGATCTGTCACTGTCTCCCATCACCCCTAAATGGGACCGTCTACTTGCAGGAAAACAAGCTCAGGGTGCCCGCTGATTCTACATTATGGTGAGTTGTATAATTATTTCATTATATATTAAAATATAATAATAATAGAAATAAAATGCATAATAAATGTCATGAGCTTAAATCATATCAAAACCACAGCCCCAACCACGGCCTCTGGCAGTGGAGGCTGGAATCCACATCGGCTCTGTGCTGGGTGCAGGCCTGGAGGTGAGTGGGTGTCCTGTTCATTTCCTGGAGGAAGAGACTGACCCGGGTGACACGGCTCCTAAGTGGCAGAGTCCAGCTTCAAACCCAGGGCTGCAGACCCACAAGCCTGTGCATTTATCGTGGTTCTGAGCCGGCCAGCCCAAGGACAGGAGTTTAAAGGGACTACATTTCTTGGTTGGAAATCAGCGAGCATCATCACCCAGAGCCGTTGCTGAAGAACCCAGGAGAGGCCGTATGTTTTCCTGAAATGGCCAGGGAAGCATTCTGCCTTTTCAAAAGAGAAGACTGAATTCCAGGGAAGAGAGACATCAGATCTCCGGGCCAGGCAGCTCTTCAAGCCCTCAGAGCCACAGCCTACCCATGGTCTTGGCCATAGTATATTTCTTCCAGAAGCCACATTTCCACGGGTAGGCAGCTCTAACTGGGAGGAAGTCTTCCTGAGATTTAGCCAAATTAACTTTCTTTCTTTCTTTCTTTTTTTTTCTGAGATGCAGTCGTGATTCTCCTGCCTCAGTCTCCCAAGTCGCTGGGATTTCAGGTGCCCGCCACCACGCCCAGCTAATTTTTGTATTTTTAGTAGAGGTGGGGGTTTCTCCATGTTGGCCAGGCTGGTCTAAAACTCCTGACCTCAGGTGCCCTGCCCACCTCAGCCTCCCACAGTGCTGGGATTACAGGGGTGAGCCATCTTGCGCAGCCCAAATTAGCTTTCTAGGAGCTTCCACTTTCTAGGTCTGTTCCTGCCCCTTTGAGGTAGTGACCATCTCCCTCCAAACCCAGATATTTCTCTTATTCAGACTACACAACTGTAGTTATTTCAGGCATTCTCCCAGACTTAGGAAATTATAAGTTTGACCTGGCTTTGGACACGATTCAGTTGGTTGGAGTCCCACACAAAGCCTGTTTGGTCAAAGAGGAAAGAGACTATCACCTCCTTGGATCTGGAGCTATACTTCTGTTGATACAACCTGGGATCATACTGTGTAGCAGCCATATCCCATTTGAAGTGCTTATTGGGCTTATCAGCTAAAATCTCTGTGTCTTTCTTCTATCCGAGCTACTGTCAATTAAGTTTCTTCTATTCTGAGAGTCCTTGACTGAGGCTAAGAGTTTCTGGTTTTTCTTGCTCTCTAATAAATCTACTTCAGGCTGAAAGGCTATGATTTTTTCTTTGAGTACCACTTTGGTTTCATTCCACAACTTGTTATGCAATGTTATTCCCTGCCCAGTTCATAATTTCCCTTTTGGTTTCTATTTTAAGATTATTTAATTATGTCTTTAAAAAATTTTTGAGACAGAATGGAATTTTTAAAGTTTTCTTTTTATTGTTTGTTTCTAAATTCGGTCATTATGGCTGTTGTGATCAATATATGCGGTTTCTGTAATATCAGTGGTGGAGAATTTGTTGAGGTCTTTGTAGGATTTTTCTGGTCATTGCTTTCCTCTTGTGTTTGTAAAGGATGTATATTTTCTGTTGATTATAAGGTTCTAGAAATGAATCTATTAGATCAGGCTGCTATGATATGATCTATATTTGTTAAGTTATTGTGTGTTTTTTTCTACCTGATTTACCTGCCACTAGAATCGAGGATTTGTTAATTTCTCCTTTTGAGTCCATCAATTTCTTGCTTTATTTTTGAAGCTATGCTGGTGCATAGCCATAAGAATAGAATAAAGGTTCAGGATTTTCATAACTTTCTGGTGAATGGTCCTATTTTTTTTGAGATAGGGTCTCACTTTGTTGCCCAGGCTGGAGTGCAGTGGTGCGATCACGGCTCACTGCAGCCTCAACCTCCCCAGGCTCAGGTGCTCCTCCCACCTCACCTTCCTCAGTAACTGGGACTATAGATGTGCACCAGCACGCCCAGCTAATTTTTGTATTTTTTTTGTAGAGACGGGGTTTCGCTATGTTTCCCAGGCCAATCTCAAATTCCTAGGTTCAAGCAATCTGCCCACCTCAGCCTCCCAAAGTCCCAAAGTGCTGGGATTACAGGCATGAGCCACCATAGCTGGCTGAATTGCTCCTTTTTATTAGTATAAAAGAGCCAACTTCCAGCCAGGACAACATAGTGAGAACCCACCTCTACCAAAAAATAAAAATTAGCTGGGTGTGGTGGTGTGCACCTGTATTTCCAGCTACTTGGGAGGCCGAGGTGGGAGAATCACTTGAGCCCAGGAGTTCAAGGCTGCAGTGAGCTATGATCGCACCACTGCACTCCAGTCTAGGTGACAGAGCAAGACTCTTTTCAAAAAAAAAAAACAAAAACAAAAAACCTGTCCGCCTTCTCTCTTCTAGCACTTACTCAAGACATCATTGCCATGAATTCCGTGTTATGTGAGTCCTCCTGTGCTAATGAGCCAGATGAGTTAAAAACAACAGCAGCAGCAAACCTTGCACTGATGTCTCTGCTCTGTTTCTAGAATCTTGGGCAAATCATTTTCTTGGTTTGGGCTTCAATTTCCTCATTCATAAAATGAGAATACGCCCCGTCCTACCTGCCCCTCTGGGTTTTTTTTTTTTTTTTTTTTTTTTTGGAGTTTCACTCTTGTTACCCAGGCTATCCTTCTGAAGTCAAGCCACTTCTCTCTGACATCCAGCCATAGTCTCTGATGTCTACCTGCTTTTTTTTTTTTTTTTTTTTTTCAGTTGGGGAGTTATAGGCACAGGATGGGGGCATGGCAGGCCAGGATGGTCTTGAGAAATGTCACATTTGGACAGGAAATGCCTGTTCTCACTGAAGTCTGTGGGGGTGGAACCCTAGCCAGGGCCATGCCCTCCTCCACATAGCGCTTCCCTTCCCCCGTTCTGTATTATTTAAAGGGACCACACTCTTCCCTTCCCAGTACTATTCTTGTATCTGTCCCAGCAGCTCGGGAGGCTAAGGTAGGAGGATCGCTGGAGCCTAGGAGGCCACAGCTGCAGGGAGCTGTGATGGTGCCACTGCACTCCAGCCTGGGCAACAGAACAAGATTTTCTGCCAAAAAAAAAAAAAGAAAAGAAAAAGCCAGGATAACACACATACAAATATACATTCTAATTTCTTTTGAAAAATCAAAAGACCTAGCAACATAAAAACCTTCGTTTTCATGTGGCAAAAAAGTAGCTGTCCTTTATCACAGAGGGGTGTATTTTCCACGTGTTCCCTCTCTACCCCTTGAGGTCACGTGACTCTGTACCTGTAGGTATCTGCGTTTACTCCAGAAGGCGTGGCTCTGTGGCCACGAGAGAGGTGGCTGTGGGCTGTGGGCCAGAGGCAGAAAGGTAGAGGGTTGGTGGCCTCTGGAGAGGCCTGGGCACCGAGGTTTTCATCGGGCGTGGATTAAGGGGCCATTGGGATCCCACCTACCCTGAGGGTTAGATTCTGAGATCTTCGCTGTCCACCCGACAGCCTAGATGGCAGCCTCTGCCCTTCCCCTTCCTTCTTGTTCCTGTGTGCTTTCTTTTCTTTCTTTCTTTTTTTTTTTTTTTAGATGGAATCTTGCTCAGTTGCCCAGGCTGGAGTGCAGTGGCGCGGTCTCGGCTCACTGCAGCCTCTGCCTCTTGTCTGCATTCTTTGCCCTTTTATCACGGCGTACCTACAGACACATGTACAGACAAGTGTAAAGCTTTATGACCGAATATGATCTAATCAAGCAGCAGTGCATGACAGGCCTCCCAGAAGCTTTCCTCCTGTTACCGCCGGGTCACAGCCCTGTCCTCCAAGGCCACCGTCCCGACTGCCAACTCCAAGATCAGATTATTTCCTTGATCTAAGCAGAACCAGGCAGCGTTGCTGTTCTGAGCCTGGCTTCCTTTGCTCAGCTTGTATCTGTGACATCCTGTGGCAGCTGTCATTTGCTCAAGGTCTCAAAGAATTTTCTTGGTGCTCAGAGATGAGCCTTTGCCACCCACTCCACCAACACTGTCCCAGGCTTCTCACCTAGCCATGGCCTCTTCACATCCTTGCAACTACCTATGAAGCAAGTGATCATATTCTCATTTCACAGATGAGGAGACTGAGGGTCTGAGTAGGCCGCAGCCTGCCACGGTCTCCCACCCAGTCAGGGTGGAGCCTGCACTTAGGCCCAGAGTTATACTTCTATGTCTTAGATGCTCCAGGGTCCCTACCCACACAGGTGGCCCCCATGTCTGTGTGTCCCCACCCATCCAGGAATGGTATAGGGTGAGACAACAGGAAGAGCTCCATGGGGAGCCCCCACCCACCGCCTGCCACATGCCAGTCTGCAGGCGGAAAATGAACAGGAAGCTCTTATCTGTGCCCATATGTGGTCCCGGCTTTGGGTATACCCAGGGGGCAAAGTCCCGGTCATTGTCGAGACAAGTTTGCTGCCACTGCGGGCCAAGCAAATGGTGACAAAGGCCAAATTCCTGCCTGATTACTTCCTGCTTTGTCGCCTCAGGCAATTTCTGAACCACCTCAGCCTCATTCCCGGCTCTGTTCCTGCAGGGAGAATGTCTGACTGTATCTTCCACACTGAGCTTTCCAGAAAAAGCAAAAAGAGTGATGTATAAAAAAACAAGTTTATGACTGCTTCTGTGCCGGGCACTGTGCTGTGGACACCAGAGCCAAAGGCCTGGGTTCAAATCCCAGCCCAGTCACTAGCTGTGCATCTTCAGGCAGGTTCCTGACCCTCTCTGGGCCTTGGCTTCTCCATCTCTGCAATGGAGATGATATTAATTGCATCTACAATGCTCCTTGGATCCGGGTCATGGTTAAGTGAGTGAGTGAGGCTCAAGGGCTTCTTTTTTTTGAGAGATAGGGTCTCGCTCTGTCACCCAGGCTGGAGTGCAGATGCATGATCACAGTTTACTGCAGCCTTGACTTCCTGGGTTC